GGTTTAATCAGTTGACACTTAAGATATAGCCTAGTTAACCCATTGGAGAAAAATGCAAAATAAAAAGTACTGTGCAACATTTTAGCATAATAAATATAACTAATTTCTTAAATCACAGAGTGTTACTATGGATACCTAATATAAGGTAGTACTTTCACAAAAGCGCCTTTCAAAAGCAAAAAACTTCCTATTTCAATACAAACGATAGTTTTACTCACTTTGAGAATTATTTAATCGCATTCAATTAGAATATAATATTTCTTAAATTGTAACATATTTTGTTTCCTTTTAAATTTAATGCATATTAAATTTGTCGCAATTTGTGTTTCGCGAGATATAAAACTTTAAACATTAAATCTTAAAGACAATGTTTATTACAGATAAACATGTGTATCAACAATCGATATACAACTATATTACAGATGTTTAGTGAACATATTAGCGTTTGCTATCCAAATATTGTCCAGTTGTGATTAAACCAAATGTGAAATGGTGATATTGAATATCGTGTGATTAGAAACATATGGAATTCTCATTTGAACGGGCATAAATTACATTGTATTAAAATATAACCGTGATATTACTGGTACATTTAGGCCGGAAAATATTTCGGCAATACTACAATGAAACTGATCTGCTTTCCATACAAGCAATATAAATTTATCATGGTAAAACTCGATCAGATTATAACAAAACACGGCTTACAAATCAGCGAAAATTAATATGCAAGCATGGCTTTATATATATCTGTTTTATAAAATATACTATAAACAGTACAGATATCTACCAAATAGCAAAGTTATTAAATTTTTATAAAATATACCTACATTAAATGCCTGTTGGTGCATCACAAAACCAAAGGTCATATATATGAGTTTGAAAGCGGTCTAGTAAATTTCTATATACAAATTTATATCTGTATACAGTAGACATTTATAACAGCTCGTTTGCAAGGGTTAGCTAAAATTCAGTAAAATAAGCAACACAAACATAGACTTACCTAACTAGTCTAAGTTGTAATATGTCCTTGGAGGATTTTATTATATTTTGGGCGTCCAAGTGGACTAAATGCTCGGTGGGTTCGTTATTAATTTCGTCTATAAGATCTCCTTCCAAAATTCCTTGTAAGTCTGCTTTCCCGCCCGGAGTTACCTGAAAAAGCAAAATAAAATCGTAAATGTTAACAGTAGTGTTTAAATGTCTTAGAGAAATCATGTTCAGGTGATAAAAATGCGCAAAACACTGAATTTTGGTCAACAGACGCGGCAGTTTCATACATAAATGGGATAGTCATTATTACACGAACGGCGCCAGGGCCAGGCGAAATTAAGGCGCAAAACTTACCCTTGCAATTGACAAAGCTGTCCCAAAATCCTTTCCACCTTGCAGTCGAAAACCCCAAGGACCTCCACCAGTTAAATTGACGACGTATTCGCCTGCCATTTTAGCGAGAAAGCCGAAAATTTGAAAATAATAAAGCTACAGAGATTAAATGTCAGGGCACTCGCAACCTACGCGCGTGATTGTTTATCGTTCTTCCTCTACCTCTCTCGCATTCTGATTGGTCCAAAAACAATAGAATTATCAACAGCGATCGCTGATTGGCTGTGCGACAAATAGATAAATAACATATATATGGCTTAGATTATAAATTTTACTCACCGTGAAATTGATTTCGCTTCCCAAGTGATTTCCAGATTTTTATAAATAACCAAGGTAGGAATTTATGTAATATGCGTAGAGCTTAAAAACTAATTGCTTCTTTGTCTACCGTTTATGATAAAATGTCTCTGTAATATAAATCTCTGCCCCTTGACAGTTACCTTAGCGAGTACCCGGAAATTCCAAAGCGCTTCTTCAAATTTTACCTAATTTGGTCATGAATGCACTCGGATATAAAACATTTGTCAACAGCACAAAGTTAATCATATATTCAGACCAATAACTTGTTTAAAATTTTAGCAAATATTTCCTGTTATGACCCCCCTAAAGGAATGATCTAGATGAATAAGATGATAAATATTTTACCAGCAAAGTACATTTTAAAAGATTTTAATTGTACTATTAACTATTTTTTGTGCAACAAAAACCTTGCAACATTGTCGGCGGACGGACCATCTGTTTTACATTTGTTCAGAATATTTTGTCTCAATTTTATTACAAAATTTGTTAGTGTAGTTTTTAATAGACGATTTTGTTCGTCACGGGGAGAGCGCTGGTGCTCAAAGGGTACACCAGTCTATCTGCCATTAGCCTGCTAATCTGCCATCAGCCCATGTGTCTAGTTGACGTATAAGTCCTGATGCACCCTACTATTGCCTACTGTTTCATTCTGTCTAACGCCAGACGATTTTACTCGTCAAGGAGAGCGCTGGCACTCAATGGATTATTTCTAGATCCGCAGTTCTCTGAGTTACAATTTGAAACCCCACAGAAACAACTGTTTAAAGTTTAAACACTAAGGTCTAAGCAGATACAGATATTCAATATAGAATAGTTTAATTTAGTCTTGATTTCCTGCCGTATAGTTATTATAAACTGGGTCTGAGTAAAGGACGGTGCTTCATTGATACTGGATCTTTTACGAAGAAACCGCAACTGGTAGACGAGCTAATATTAGACGCAATACTAGAATAGGTAGTCGGTAGATACTACACATATGGAATAAATATATCGTCGCTAGCATTGGATTAATTCACGCAATTTGAAAATCACGCAATTTGCTTCTCATTCAACATATAAATGGCCAGCTTTAGTAATTTTTCTGTTTCTTGTGTTATGCACTCAGGCGAAAATATATGTTTGTGATGTTGTCTCTGAGTGTGTCCACACCGGGGCGGGAGAGCTGAAAAGTTTGTTTGACCGCGGTGGGAATCGGACCCGCGACGGTTTGCTAGTCCAATGGCAATGCTCGGAACTCAGTCTAGTTTGGCTTCGATGACGACTCGTTTGTTCAGTAGAGCATTATTAAAGCAAACCAAAGGTCGAGGGTTCGATTCCCACCGCGGTCTGAGCAAACTTTTCACCTTGCCCGGTGCGGGCACGCACACTCAAACCAACATCACAAACATAAAGCTTTGGGATCCTTTAGTAATTCTAAGATGTTTCACTGCAATATTTTTACTGCGCCTTGTTCTGTATGAAACTGCGTCTGCCAATTGTGGACGGAAGATGTGCGCTGTATTTTGCTGTGCAATGAGTGTTTACGCGACAACGCGCAACCCGCGCAGGTAGTTTATTCCAGAGTCTACGCTGCAACCAGTGAGCCATTTCCTACGTTTTCAGAGTGACATTTGGTTTTGTGTTTGCCTTATATTTGTATGGGTGGTTAGTTTATAACTATTTCAGTTATATTTCGAAAGCACAATCTTAGAACTGCCCATTTTAAGTTAAAATGGGAGGCCTGAGGATGACCTTTGTCTTTGACTTGACATCGATTCAAGTCAGAATAACACCAGGTTTTATCAACTGATAACTTGTTTAGCGATAAGAAAACTGTTTACGACCTTCATAGCTATTGGACGTCAATTTCCGCCTTCTCGAAGTCACTTTTCTCATTGCCCGGATGACTGAAGTTCTCGCTTGCGGGGAAGCGAGAAATACCATAACTAGTCACTTAGCCTTTAATAGGGAACAAATAGTCCACAGACAGAGCTTTCCAGTACAAATAAATTAATTAGTTTAAGAGATTTCCCCTGTTCGCCTTACCCAAAAGAGCTTAATTATGGTGATTATTTCAATTATTTTTTCTAACATTTGAAAACGCCTCCGCGAGACTTCTATTAAAATTCTATAAATACCGCTCCGATATTGCTTTTTGTATTGTTATAAACACATTTCTCGGCGTTTCAAATTTCCCAAACAAACGTTTTCCTTTGATCAAAACTTTAAAAAAGTAAATGTATAAAGGAAGTTCTTAATTAATTAAAAAGACCATGTCAAGTCCGTTCTGCGCATCAGTTCCGCTTATAACAAAGGGGGACCCACAGTATATAAACATTGCCCACATTTTGCATCTTTCGAACTTTTTTGAATTGAAACGTACTCTAGTTTATATTCATTTACGATAGCGAACCAGAAAAGTGTTAGATATTCAGTTAGTATGTCTTATTTTACAAATATGGCAATTCAAAATGTAAACAAAGGATTTGTTTACATTACGGACTTCAGACATGGTCTTTAACTATCTCGTATACCCCCTCCCCCCGCCCAAAAACTTTACAAAAAGTTTACCATTCAGTTGTCATCATGTCCTCTACCACTTCTGTGAGTTGAGTTTTGTGCAATTTTCTGCAGTTTAAAGTCATGTTGTTTGCACATGTACTTTCTTTGGAGACACCATTTGCCTCCTGACAAATCAGAAAATGGTCAAGATATAGTGACTCTGACTGATTTGCATATCGTATTGACATATCACTGCCGGACAATGCTTTTGAGTCCTCAATATTTGAGTGAGTCATGTTTTGGAAATGACAATATATTTTTATTACCCAACCCTTGAGTTGTTTTGAAAAGTCAGACCAATACCGCATCTAGTAACTTGCCGAGCACGCACACAAAAAGGTGGGTACACTAGTTGTAGTTCTGTATATCTGTCTACTCTGTGTTGTCAACTCATATAACTTTTGTCATTTTACTGTAACATTCGGCAATACCTGAAATCGGCCAACCGATCGTTTGTGTGTAAACGTACTGTTGTGCGGTTTTAAAAATTGGTTGGTGCTCAAGTAATTGGCATATGTTTTTTCATAGCTATTATTAATGTAAATATTTAAGAAATCTTTACAGTTTGTAACGGGGAGTGCCTCGCATGGGACTTTGAGTCCCGTTCGCACTCTACCGCTTGGACATGGTCCAATAAATTGATTTAAAATAAAAAAAAATAAAACAAAAAAAGATCATCCAACTTCCTGATTGAAAGGCCCTCTTTGACAACGGGAAGACTTCGCCACTAATACAGCGCAAAAGCTGATTAATCGAATTGTATTTGAATAAGATACGGGAAACTAAAGTTTGTGTTTTTGCGTTTAATATTAAAGTACGGAATATCTACATTTTACATCGTTAAAAATATCAAATCTCTGACCCATTTTGTGCAAGTACAATGTCAATGGTTATTTTTACCAATAGCGACGCCACCTTGAATCGTGATGCATTATGGTCTGCTAGCCATAATGGTAAAAAGAAAATTTAACGATAAAATATGACTTTTCCCTTGACAAGTTTCCCTTGACAAGTTTTATTTGCTCAAGTGTGTGGAAAAAGATTACCGAATCTCACGCACTCTCATCAACTGAATTTTGATTCTGTTCCAACTGAATTTTGATGAGAACTTTTGTTTATGAGAATTTTTGAATTTTTGCTTGATGAGAATTCTTGAAGTTCTGGTTCAACTGAAATTTGATGTGAATTTTTGCTCGTTTGACCTAATTGACCAGTGATTTCCACTCAATTCCTATCAACCCTTTTTGAGAAACGATAATCAGGGCCGTAGCTAGAACGATAATTGGGGGGGGTGTATATTCATATATTCGTGTTCTGCCCGACAGCTTTCTTTTGAAAGTGATTGTTTTTACGGTACGTGAAAATGAATATATGAATATACACCCCCCCCCCCCAATTATCGAGTCTAGCTACGGCCCTGACAATAATTTGCGGCATGACTGTTTTCTCAACTCCCACGCCCCCGGTATGAGAGATGGTAGTCATGAATTGTTACAGGGAACGTTTCAAGCTCTTGATGCAATTGTATAAAAGCTGAAGATTCTTTTTCAAAAACACCGAGTGCACTGATTGAGAGATTAATGAAGTTTACCGGATGGAATTTTTTCTTTTGTTCTATGATCATCTCTTTATATTTTGAGTATTTGCGCTGTATATTATTCCTTAGGTTAGTCTCATATCCAACGGTTAGTTCGAGTACATACAGACAATTGTCTTTGGTCAAAATTAGTAGATCATTTTAACAAAATAGATGGTTGATGAGTGTTCCAATTATGTTTTAACTTAAATAGAATACATGATAGTGTTGGGAAAGCATTAAGAACAGCTAACTGCCAACTCTCACTCTCATCCTCTTTAAGTATTTTAGTTGTAGTACTTTGGAGACATTCAATTACACGTGATACATCACAATGTTTGCAATTTGAAGATGGCGACATTGCTGAAAGGGTCAATTATCAACAATGAGCCCACAATGCTTTACGATTTAAATATGGCGCCGCTAATCGGAATAGAGATTAAAGAGAATTTCAATCTATTAAATAGAATTTCGATCTATTAAATAGAACTTCATTATTGGCCAATTATTTTTTTCCGTCCTTTCCTCGGAGGTGCCACAGGACAATTTTCATCAGTGTTTACTAAATCAGTCCGCGCAGGGACAGCAGGGGGATTACTTGGTGTAGTATCAATATTTTCTCCTGTGCTGCAAGGCCTTTTGGGTAATTCTGGGGGTGTCTTATGATCGGTCATTGTATGAACTCTTTCAGGGGGGTGCGGTGTCTCTTCCTCCATACTATCATTACCAGGGCGGGGAGGTAGTTTTGGGGGTGACCGTTCAAGAGATCCTGTTTTATCCATAACCGTCTCCTTATGTACTACCATACTCCGTGATTCTCCAGAGGCTTCTTTCTCGGACTTTCTTCGGGGAACTGGTACTGGCTTCGTATTTACCGAATCACTTCTACCAATAGGCACAGGCGGCCCCATTGGACTTGTATGCGAAGATAAATCATTGGTTTCTAAATTTAAACCAGAATTCATTTCGGCACTCGCTTCGTGACCGCCGACTTGCAGCAGAGACTGGACAGTAGTGGAGTCAACATGGGTCACGTGTTTAACATCAAATGGTCCGCTGATGGTTAGAGATGTTGATGGTGGCTAGAAAAACGAGGAAACAAATTTGTAGGCATATTTTTTGTTGCATAGTAGCCTCCTCCGCAGGCATAGCCTGCGAATGGGTAGTTCGAGAAGAGCCGGAGCTCACTAGAGGTGTGCAAATCCGATAGAGCTCACACCATGGATCAGGAAAATACTTTTTGTTTAAACTATCCAAGCTCACACCATGGTTCGCGAGCTTGTGTTATTGCTTTTATCTTACCCAAAATCAACAAATAACGATCAAGATACCTTGTCTGGTACATTTCCATTAAAAATCAGATAAAAGAAACAAGGATTCTCAAGGGACGGCAAACGACTCGTATAAACAATCAAATTGTCTTATAAATAAGCCGCGGCTTATTGCAAATTGTTAAAGGGATACGGCAATATATTTTTTTGCTATTTCATTTTAAAGAACTTTTAAAATTGTATGTTAATTTCTTTTACCGATTTTGCGTAACTTTATTATTTCTAGAGATATTTGAACAGAGAAAATCACAAATCAGCGAGCTTTCCGCCATCTTGGATTTTGGCGGATATGCATGTGACATCATAAGCAGGGTCACGCAAGAATTTTATCCATAGAGCAATTGGTTATTATGAGCCCAAAATCATATACTTCAGTAACTATTTGAAGTTATTTGGTCACTTAGATGTAGTTTTATATGGCTAACCCTGCTTTTGACGTCACTAAAATCACCGATAATGAGATAAAAATTAATCCAAGATGGCGGACAGCAAATTATTTTAAGTCAAAATATTTCAAGAAATAATAAAGTTACGCAAAATCGGTAAAGGAGATTAACATATAATTTTAAAAGTTCTTTAAAATGAAATAATAAAAAAAATATATTGCCATATCCCTTTAAAGGGCATATGATTCGAAAATTGACGGTGTTATTTTTTAGTCTAATTTGAAAGATCATTGAAAACTGTAGAGCAACTTCTTTGACAGATTTTTGTTTTCTTGCTTCGTTTTGGAGATATTTCGTTTTATATGATATGATATGCAAAGGAACAACTTTAATTTTAATTTAATTTTAATTTTAATTTTACAAGATTCGCCAAACATAACAGACATAAATAAGACTAATACTTTACAAAATGTACATACAATTCGGGCAGGGACTAGCCACAGAGATAATCTCCAATTATGGGGCCCCTCACAATAAGTTACAATATATAACATTAAAACAAATTATGCTAAAGTGTCAACAACATGTCCTCACTAATAAACTATCAAGAGACCGAGTTGAGTGGCATTTGACGCACACGGACTTAAATGTTCTAGGATTGTCCGGGTTGTATATTTGTTCTAAAAGGTTTAAGTAGTAATTGAATAAGAGATTTTAAAGTAAGCTAATGATCTTGAAGTGTCGCGAATATTGCTAGGGAGAATGTTCCATACGCTAGGCGCTCTCACATAGAAATTGTTCTTGTAGCTAACTGTCCTGCATCGAGATACATTAAGAAGAATACCATTGACAGGGTCAGCGTTTCTAGTCGTCCGGGTGGTTGTTCGTATTGACACATTGACATCGTTGCTTAGAATACTCTTGTAAAGAAAAACTAAGTCTAGAAATTCGTGCCAATAGCAGACTGGGAGAATACCGATAACCAGTAGTCGTTCCCCGTATGTTGTGGCTGTTCTGTAAGGAAGGGAAAGGATGAATTTGGTCGTGCGACGTTGAACCCGTTCTATTGACAGTATGTCGCTGACAGTTTGAGGTGCCCACACCTGGCTGGCATATCCAGGCTTTCTTGCCATCCTACTTTTCCTACTTTTTCCTACTTTTCTTCAACTTTCCTACTTTTCCTATTTTTTATTAAAAATTGCTTGATTTTCCTACTTTTTCCTACCTTTTCTCATAAAATCCTACTTTTTTAAGACAGCTTGGGGAATCAGTATATGTTATAGCGCTCGTAATTAGATCTATAGGACTCGCAATTTGTATTCCCTATTTGTGTCCCAGATGATAATATCTCAGGAGGAGAAGAAGTACATTTTCCGAGTATATAATTTCATAGCATCTCTAGAATCATAATCAATAAATTATGAAGACTCTGAAAGTGCCATTTCCGACGATCTAGATATTCCAAATATTCAACCCCCCCCCTCCCCAGTTAATCAAGCATCATATATACAGAGCCGTAGCAGCCCCCCAATAGTGTGCTAATAATCTATTTTTTTTCAAAATCATGCAGACCTTTATCATTTAATCCATGACAAACTGCAAAGAATGAAGATATTACCCATACTTTCCTGCAACTTATCCAATATATAGTTAATTAAATACGCCTTCGCCCATTTAGTACTACTAAATTGTAAATTTCGGCATACCTAAAACGCTATTTTCTGACCATTAGAATTCTGTCAAATCTTCCCCAAAGTCCAGGAAATAGCATTTCAGAGACTCAAAATTTAAAAATTTCCTCGGGCCTTCGGCCCTCGCTTTCAGCCCCCCCCCCTCAATCAAATAGAGCTTCCTACCGCCCTGATATATGCTCTTGCCGTAGTGTGGATTGGTGCATTGTGTAGCACAATACGTGCATTTGAATTGTGTTGCTGCAGAGCAGATGAATTTAAAAGTTTTGGGGAAAAAATCCTGCATAGATGAATGAGTACATAAAAATATTGAGCACCAAAAATTCACACAACTTCCCCATCAGATATCTAATGGTCTACCCCTTACCACATATATCCTAGGGGCCAATTTTGTATATTTTTGTGTTATTTGCATCTCCAAAACTCCTACTTTTGTCCTACTTTTCTACACATTTTCCTACTTTATTCCTACTTTTCCTAAAATTCTAGTCCTACTTTTGTCCTACTTTTCTACACAAGGATGCCAGAAAGCCTGCATATCCTAACTTGCTGCGCACTAAGGACAGGTACAACACCTTTCGCACGTGGATGTTATGCGTGTCGGAGGCTGTTCGACGAATGAAGCCTAACATTGAGCTCGCTTTTGATGTTATTTCATCAACCTGTTTCGTCCACTTGAGATCTTTTGTGACAACAATCCCAAGGTCTTTTTGATGACATAGTTGCTTCAGAGAACTATCCAGTAGTTTATAATTGAACTATCCAGTAGTTTATAACTTTCTACGTCACATATGCATAACGATTTAGCCCTAAAAGTTGTATATCTTTAATACGACTAAACACAATCAGTAGAAAACCTACATGGGTGTTGTTGTGGACAAATCTCGTGCTCATCATTCATTTTGAGCGAATCGATTTGATAGTGACAAAATTACTGTATAACATAGGAAGTCATTATGAATATGTGACGTAGAAAGTTGGTCCTTTGCATATCTGTTATCATACAAAATGAAATATCTCCAAAACGAAGCAAGAAAACAAAAATCTGTCAAAGAAGTTACTCTACAGTTTTCAATGATCTTTCAATTGAGACTGAAAAATAACAACGTCAATTTTCGAGTCATATGCCCTTTAAACCGTCCCACGTTGAATCATGTTGCGCTTCTTAACCCCCGGTCCCCCAACTCAATGTTGAGCTTGTGTTATGATGAATAACCAAAAGTGATATCGGCGTTGTTTACAACATTGAACTGGGGGGGAAGGGGGAGACAAAGTTTGTTTTGTCAATGTTCAATAACTTTGCAATGTTGGCTGGAATGGTATCAAGTGTTTTGTCCAAGATTGTAGCTCATCTTAGTTCTTAATTTGCGGTCGCCAATAGACCTTTCCCCTTTTGAGTGAAATTTTGATCTAGACAAGTGTGGACAAAAATTTCACAGCTTGAAAGAGCATCACAAAATTAGTAATATTTCGAAGTTTCGTTGCGAAATGTTGTAAAATGCGGATAATATAGCCTTGCGAAGTTTGCCGTTTTTCAATCATTTTGTATTACAAATGGGAAATTGATAATCAGTTTGATCATCTGATTATCAATTTCCCGTTTGTAATGCAAAATGACTGAAAAACGGCAAACTTCGCAAGGCTATATTATCCGCATTTTACAACATTTCGCAACGAAACTTCGGAATATTACTAATTTTGTGATGCTCTTTCAAGCTGTGATGAAATTTTTGTCCAGGCATATCTAGATCAAAATTTCACTCATAAGTAAAAAAAGGTCTATTCTGATCGCGAGGCAAGGCCACCTACACCCGCACTACAATTACATACCTCTTCACGCTGTTGTTTTCTAGTCAGTTTAAAACTTCCCAACCGTTGACGTAACGACTGTCCCTCAGATTCCTTGACCTGGCTCACTGCTTTAACTCTCTGGGGTTGCAACTCTTTCTCTTTTGTGATAGGTTTCCCAGGAGAAGGCGGTGGAGGCCTGTGAGGAAGGTTGTGAGGCCTAGGAGGAGGGGTGACAGACTTTCCCGATAACATATCATCTGTTTGCTTGTCTACATTCCCTGGTGGCCTTGCAGGGGCAATAGGCTTTGTTTGGTTATCTACTGTACTTGTCTCAAGCGTAATACTACCGGATCTCGACGGTTTACCCCCTAATGTACTAGCCGTTTGTTTTTCCACGTTTTCTGCAGGCTTCTCTACATGGCTTCGTGGTCTAGCAAGAGGAACTGGCTTTGTTTCATGGTCGATAGCATTTTTCTCAACTGTAAAACTAGGTCTCTGTGGAGGTGTTGTTGGTTTGCTTGTTACTGCACTGGTTGTTTGTTCCTCCATATTTTCTTTGAGTCTTGCAGGAGGAACAGGCTTTGGTTCGCGATGGTCGACAGCACTTTTCTGAACCGTTGAGCTTGAAGGCCTCTTTGGTGGCAACGGCTTCGCTTCGTTGTCGACAGAATTTCTTTCAACTGTCACACTACCAGGCCTCTGTGGGGGAGATGGTTTAGTAGCAATACTACCTGCCTCATTATTTGCAGTTACCCGATTCCGTGCGGGTGGTATAGGGTTACCCTCTTGCGTAGTTGAAGACGCGGTCTTTTCCACAGGTAAGCTGGAGGGCCTCCCTGGTCTGCTAGGGGGAGTTCTGCGTTTGTTGGAAGGCGACCCCGCCGGGCTCGTACCAGCCTTGCTAAAAGGCTTCGGTCTTTCGGGTTTTGCTTTTACCGGTGGGCGCTTATCCACCGATTCGGGGTCATGTTCCATAATTTGTGGGTTTCGCTTTGGAGGGGGGCCAGGACGAATCGGTCGGGTCGGTGGGGATTTCATCTTCTCGATGACGACACCTTCACTATCATTATCTATAACGTCATCATCTCTGACGTCATCGTCACTGACGTCATCATCTTTGACGTCATCATCGTCCGAGTCTTGCGAGTATATTTTGATAGGTTGTAGTACAGGCAATGAGGCGGAGTTGCCCGCGGAGTCGCTGAGAATTTCGGAAAGCGAACGTGCTCGGCTTAGGCCACTGGGTGTCATTGGGACGAAGTCGCCAACAGTCAGGTCAGTTTTGGAAAGCAAGCTCTCCGATTTTAATCTCACAGCGATCTGCACCCCGTCAATCTGAAACGCAAACAGCACAGTTCTATGGTAACTAGGCTTTAGAATTATCTACTCGGAGTGATAAGCAAATGTTCTGTTCTATGCATCTGTAAATTAGAACAATAGTAACTAGGCATGCGAGTTATCTAAAATTGTGAATTGGGTTGCAACGATGTAAACAACGTTAGCCAAGTTTGTCCATTGGTCTGGGGCAGTGGCGAAGCTAGCCATAGCAACAGGTCATGCCATGCAAATTTGTAGCCTATTTAAGGCCATTTTCGATTAACGTTTGCTTTGCCCGCGCGGGCGAAGCGTTCATTGTTTTTGACGCCCGTCACGCCCGCGTGAGCAGATTTTCAAAGCCCGCTCCGCCAGTGCGGGCAAAGCGACTGCAATGGAAACCGGCCTTTAGAAGCGGGTTTATTAGCATAGCATGACAACTTGCCATGGCTAGTTTTGCCATTGGTTGGGGTCGGTTGTGCGGTTGGTCGGATAGCGCTATCCACCGGATACGGTAAAATCTCGCATATGTGGACCTAGCAAGATTAAGAACCTAAAATCTGAAACTTGTCATTAGGACCTTCTCCTGTTTGAATTTGGAATATTTGAGCAATTTTGCCCTCTACATGATTAAAACGAAAATTGATAAGATTTGGACAACAAGTTGCATAAGAGTTTTGGAGCAGCATTGAGAGTTGATGGTACAGTATAGTTGATTGGATATTATACTACGTGTGTAGCAAAAACTCTCATGAGCATACTCTTATCAAAATTTGACCCAGCTCAAAGTTGATGAGAGTGTATGAGAATTGGCAAGCGAGAGTTTGTTATTATCTTGTCATAGTTATCAAACTCGCCACGATATAAAATCATCACTAGAAATAGCTTGGAGATTTTCTCATACCTTGGTATTATCAAGTTCCATTGCTTTTAAAGCTGATCTGCCGTCATCAAACGTGATAAACAACTCGTTGTCAATTACTCTATATAACATAAGGAATAATTGGTCACAATCGTCAAGAGTTGAAATGAGTTTTACTATGAAGCAAACGTCTATGTGAGGCCAAAAAATATACGTGTGTTTCCTATTTCTTCTTGTAAAAACTTAGGTATAGGGTAGGTCGGTTTTAACTTTTTTTTTTAATTAAACTTTTTTTTAATTTTCCTAACAACCGGACGCCATTTTGTTTAGTCAGTGCTTCCACATTCAAAGATAAATTTCCCTAATATTGCCTCAAATTTCCATTTTTCACAAACGTTTTCCTCTAAGAGGAAACACTTACAAGCATGATCGAATAAAAAAGTTTAGGGAAACCGGAAACCCACATAATTGTTTTTTAAAAGATATAATTTCATGTGATCATTATATAGTTTTTTTATTATTATTATTATTAATGGTTTAAAATACACACCTTCGCAATAGATTGAATTATGGTGCGTTTACAAAATTGGTACGCTATATATTTACATATATAAAAAATTAAGTTGCATGCATCAAGTCTAAAAATCTTATTGAATTGCATTAAAATCATCGTAATTAAGTATCACGCTTAAGTTTCTTTACTATAACTATTATATAAAGCTACTGTACTGGGAAAAAAGCTACGGCGATATCTTTCTGTTCAGCATTTTATTGTTGTTAATGTGTTAGAGTTTCTAAGTTCATAATCATTTGAACTAGCCCTAGACAATGGAACATATTTTGACAGTGGTCCTTCAATTTCTATGCGTTTCATAGTATTGAGGCAATGTCGTTCTCGCCTTTCATCCAATCTGGAACACCCAAGTTGTGCTAATGCTTCCCTACATATACATACAGACAGACATTATTTAAACACACTAGCCTCAACAACTATTAGCTGGTTTCCATGACGGGTGTGTATGAATGCAAATTTACAATAAAACACCAAACAGAAACACTACAAGGGTACTCTCTATATATGACACAATAACTAACAAAATATGAAAATAAGCGCTAAGTGGTTGAATTGCAATTGACAAATTTTACTTTTCAAAGTATATTACGAATCGTTACGTATTTTACCATGAAGCAAACGTCGTTTTCTATATGTGAACGTTTTGAACACTACATAATGAGACTTGTGACAGTCATATTGCATCGAAGCCCTACATTACAGCGAAACAGTTTCATAAAAACTAGCCATATAGTTTGCAGCAGGAAATGTGTCTTAATCCTGCAAGACTGTCGCTATATACTATGATTACTTCAGGATTTATTTTGTATGAAGGGTATTGTAGATGGCAACTGGCCTCTGTAGTTCAGTTGGTTAGAGTGCTGCACCGTAATCGCAGGGCAGCTGGTTCGATTCCTGACAGGGATCTAAAGTTTCATTTTTCGCTTCTGTTCATAAGACAATAAAAATGACACTTTTGTTATCTTTCCCTATTTATTGTAATCTTTTGCAGAAATTTTTGTGCCTTAAACCCAGGTTCCAAGAAAAAAATATTTGTCCACCTCTGCACTCTCCAGTCTCAGGTTAGATCAGTGCATTATTCTCACCTGACTAATACAGTGTTTCCAATTCTTTCCAACTCAGACAATAATTCCTCAGTGTTTATTTCCTCATCATTATTCAAACTATTGATTATGACTGTCGGGTCGGCAGGACCCATAGACTTCATGACGTCATCGTGGACATCGGCCTCCTTTTCTTTATCCAGGGATTGGATCTCAATCTCGATCAGGGCAACAACTGGCCTAAATATATATGAAATATGTTGAACATTCTGTGTTGTTGTTTTTTTTTGTCACCACTATTTGTAATGGTGTTGTGCGTTCAAGCTGCCCGAGTGTGGTTGGCAATTCAAGATACCACTTGCATGGATCTTTCCTTAATCCAAGTATCACCGCTAGTTACCAGGCCATATTTAGTGACCATATCTATGGTGAACGTAAATATTAATTTGACCAAGGCCGGATTTTGGTAGAAATGGTGTGGGATCGGAGGTAGAAACAATTTAGGGGAGGTGAAGCAGGGAGGTGCAGCTCATGGTCCCCATGGGAAATTAGGGTTTTTTCTGTGTTGGTGTTGTGTATTCAGGTGAATATGTTTGTGATGTTACTCTGAGTGTATATAGAAACAAAAATAGCTCTGTTCAAAGCAGTTGTTATATCAACGCTCCTGTATGGAGGGGAAACATGGACCTGTATGCCAGGCACATAAAAAAAACTAGAAGCTTTCCAGCAACGATCCCTCCGTAGCATTATGCGGGTAAAATGGGAAGAAAAGACGCCACACAGCGAAGTGCTAGAGTGGGCAAAATGTTGTAGCATTGAAAGCATTCTGAAAAAAAGGCAGCTTCAGTGGGCTGGTCACATTGTGAGAATGGATGATGAACGATTACCTAAAATATTGTTGTACGGGGAGTTACAACAAGGAAACCGAATGGTGGGAAGACCGCGAAAAAGGTATAAGGATAGCCTGAAAGATGCGCTAAAATCGTGCAATGTTCCGCTGCAATCTTGGGAAACATGTGCAGAAGATAGGACTTCATGGCGAACTGCAATCCATACTGGTGTTCAATCATTTGAAGCAGGTCGGACAGAGAGAATACGACAAGCCCGACTCCGGCGTAAATGGCCAGATCAAGCTGACGCAACAGGATTCACGTGTGATGTGTGTCAACGGCCCTGTGCGAGCCGAGCGGGTTTGGTGGCCCATGGGAGAGTTCATAGACGGTGACCCAATCTCCGACGAAAAAGGACATCTTCGAAATCTAAGAGTCATCCATTATATCCACACCGGGCGAGCTTGAAAAATATGCCCGGCCACGGTAGGAATCGAACCTACGACCTTTGGAATACTAATCCAATGGGGCTAGTATTCCAAGTATTCCTCTTGCCCAATTGGGCTGGTATTCCAAAGGCCGTAGGTTCGATTCCCACCGTGGCCGGGCATATGTTTCAAGCTTGCCCGGTGTGGATATACACTCAGAGTAACATCACAAACATTATGTGACGTATGTATGTACTGTACATATGTTTCAGTGTATTTATGAATTATGACTGTACGAGCCATCTGACTTTGCCCTTCATTACATTACTACAAATTAAGTTTCTTGTGAAATATTGCATTAAAATGGTACTTGCTCTAAGCAACACGTAAAAATTTGTCAATTTTTACTTTGATATATCATTTAACCTTTCAGACGGGAAGGCGCATGACGTTTCAGGGGAGGTGCAAAAATCTCAGGGGAGGGAGAATTTTTGTACCTCCGATAAAAGGTCAAGCGCCTCCCCTTGGGAAAGTTTCAATGATAGATCAAAGTGAAAATTTGACATTTTTTTGGTTGCTTAGGGTCTACAGTTCTTCAGTCTGTAAAATTGAAACAGTGATAGCCATTCATCTCTGTGTCGAGTACCCTTTTAATGCAATGTTTCGTAGTAATTTTGTAGTAATTGTAATGAAGGGTAAAATTGGATGAGTTGTACAGCCATAATTCATTAATACACTGATACATATGTACACTACATGCATACGTCACGTCGTTGACTTTGGCCGTTTCTAAGCCCTGACTTTCCATGGTGGTCGTGAGCCAAACCGCTGAACCTCAATCCGGTCGTGCTATACCTGTGATCAGATGTCTTAAGTTGAGCTGAATGATAATACAACAGCTTTCCTACGGACCACGTTACATTGTCGTCACGGATGTAGAATGATTTTCTTCTCTCTGCAAAATATAAACAAAATGTTTGACATACTGAGAAGGCGATGAACAATAAAGTTAGTTTATATAGCGTTTATTTGCAATCTCGGATAAATTAGTTGAAAAAATGAGGATCCCTTTGTTAATTTAAGCCTTGGTCAAATGAGAATGAGAGTTGATGAGAGTTGAGAAGCGAGAGTTTGCATGAGAATTGATGAGAGTTGAGAAGCGAGAGTTTGCATGAGAGTTGATGAGAGTTGAGAAGCGGGAGTTTGCATGAGAGTTGATGAGAGTTGAGAAACGAGAGTTTGCATGAAAGTTGATGAGAGTTGAGAAGCGAGAGTTTGCATGAAAGTTGAGAAGCGAGAGTTTGCATGAGAGTTGATGAGAGTTGAGAAGCGAGAGTTTGCATGAGAGTTGAAAAGTGAGAGTTTGCATGAGAGTTGATGAGAGTTGAAAAGTGAGAGTTTGCATGAGAGTTGAAAAGCGAGAGTTTGCATGAGAGTTGAAAAGTGAGAGTTTGCATGAGAGTTGATGAGAGTTGAAAAGCGACAGTTCGCATGAGAGTTGATGAGAGTTGAGAAGCGAGAGTTTGCATGAGAGTTGAGAAGCGAGAGTTTGCATGAGAATTGATGAGAGTTGAGAAGCGAGAGTTTGCATGAGAGTTGATGAGAGTTGAGAAGCGAGAGTTTGCATGAGAGTAATTGATGAGAGTTGAGAAGCGAGAGTTTGCATGAGAGTTGAGAAGCGAGAGTTGGCATGAGATTTTTCTACACTCTCATGCGCCGGTCAAATGAGAACAAGAGTTGCATGAGAGTTGACTGGATATTACCACGCGCGTATGGAGAAAACTCTTATCACCTCTCATTAAAATTTGAACCAGTTCAAAGTCAATGAGAGTTGATGAGAGTGCTTTAACCCTGGACTTGTGAAGTTGGCAGCATCGTTAATTTTACATTTTACATCCATTTCCTTCAATTAAACGACCAGAATAGTGAAATATCATTTAGTGTCTCATATTATACCAGGTAGCCGTCAAGTTATAATCTTCAACTCTAAAATAGCCTTTTTTTCAAATAATTAAACCTCTCCGATAAAGAAGATATCTGTAGTGTACGAGGATATCGTATAATGAACTACAGTATATCCTAAATGCAAATGCAAGCAACCACTTTCGCTTTATCTATCCGTATGGGTTCTTGGTGCATATAAAGTTGTTCTAATAACGAAAATGATGATGATGATGATGATAAACTTTATATTTAACCACGCTACCGTTGTCAGCTAAAGCTGGGTGCACAATGGACGTGTAAGACAATAACGAAGTATTACAAGTTTAAAAATAGTAAGGAATTATCAAATATAAAATTCTATATAGATACACTATTTACAAAAATGATGTGTTTTCAAAGCGATGGGTGTCTATTATTTCTATGGTAGTGATTTTCCTTTCAAAACTCGAAAGCATTTTGCTTTCTCTTATGTTTTCTGGTAAAGAGTTCCATATGGGGGCACCGTCATACATAAAACTCTTGTTTCAAACTATTCTGCTATTCGTGTGGTGCTTGAGCTGTCACGAAGATTGTGGTTTAATATTTCCTTTTTGAAAGTACACGATTCTTTAAAGCTACGTTTACACGCTGCGATTTATCGTGTACGATTCGTATTCTGGCGTATGAAATTTACTGCTGACGCCACAATTCCTCTTCATTCAGATTATGGCGAACTTTGAAATGCAACCACTTTACGCGTGCTTATTCGATTACACACGCTAGAATACGAATCGTACACGACAAATCGCAGCGTGTAAACGTAGCTTAAGACAATTTGGCCCATATTATGAAGTATTTTAAACATCGTTTTCGCTTTCGTTCTTTGTATTTTGAGTGTTTCCCATCTTAATCAAGCTCGCCCGGTGTGGATATACACTCAGAGTAACATCACAAACATCATATTCACCTAAGTACACAACACCAACACAGAAAGAAAAAAAAATTCATGGTACAGTTTGTTGCTCAGCATCATTAGGCACACTTGAAATCACAAAAAGACAAAAGGTTTTATACACTGAATTCATAAAGAACTTTGTATTGGAAATCTGAAGAGAAGGAATCGCAGGGATCTTATCGAGGGGATAAATTTCATGAGTGACATACGTGAAATCTTGTCACTGCGACGGCATGTGCTAAATCCCGAAACGAAAGGGAACGAGACGAAACTATACCGGAACAACCGAAACGAAACGACCGAAACCACCGGAACCGCCGAAACGAAACTACTCGAACCGCAAGAACAATCAAAACGGAACAAAAAGATCCATTTTCATTTGTTTTGAATAAAACAATTGCATTTCCCTGTGTAAAACACGTTTTACAGAATTTATCTATGAGCTGTGTAAGAACTTCATGGTTAAAGTGGCTCAATACAGTTTTCTTATAAAATGGAAAATTGATTTCACAATCTAGATCCATATTTTTGGGCTATTATTATTAGTATCTTACTAAATTAAACCAACATCTAAAGGGGTGTGAAACATCCCTTTCGGAAATCCCTTTAAGATCAATATCCAAACCTCTTTGATTAGATTCTCCACCAATATCCTCTTCCTCGTCCTCGGATTCACTGTCGATATCAACCAAGGTCCCGTGTTCACCCCCATCGACAGCGTGATCCACGGCGCTTTCAGTAAACTTGGACCTAGGCTTCCGACGTCGCCAGAGAACGCGGTCAGTCCAAGCTGGGATCCGCATCTTCTCGCTGGTATCATAGTCATCAGAGAATGGATCGAACTTGTACGTTGGGGCGAATGTTAGTCTGCCTTCAGTGAAACCACGGAAACTCTGAAAAAAAATAATAGCCAGTTTAAATGAGGCCCTGTCCAACATTGAATTCTAAAATTAAATAAGCTTTGAAAAAACGTATAGAGACACAAGACCCAACGCAAGCAATTTAGTTTAGGCCTCCTTCCATTACTGGAAAAATATCGAAACCCATCCTATGGAATTCGCAATTGCATCACTAAATCCATAGTATAATATCCATACGGATCTTGGTGATACTAAATCAGCTACGGCTGGCCTAACTGGACCTCTAGGAAGAACAATTTAGAACTTATAGAGTTATGCAGTATATATAAAGTTAGTTTAGTTCACGTTTCCTTCTGTAGTAACACTGGGTCAACAAGGGATGATCCTTACTGGACCTCTCGGGAGAACAGTTTAGAACTTATAGAGTTATGCAGTATATTTAAACTTAGTTTAGGTTTTCCCCTGCAATGACTATAATTGGACCTCCAGGGAGAACAGTTTAGAACTGACAAAGCTATCCAGTATATAGAACAGTCAGCTTAATTTAGGTTTCCTGCTGTGCGGATTTAGTAAGGCTGGTACCTTGTTAGAGTTCCTACTCTTGGTCAACTGGTCTTCCACTTGAAGTGATTCAAAATCCCCTTGCATGATTCCCTCTTTTACATCTTCCATTGGCAGATCAATACGGTAGTTGAAGTCACCGCACCAAAACACATAGTCGTGCGGAATTACCGTTCTGCCCTATATTGGACAATAATGCATGTACAAATTAGTAATTTAGAATGATCTCAATAAGATCACAACACTAGGACTGGACCAACCAACAAACAAACAAACAGCCAAACCAACAAACAAACAAACAGCCAAACAAACAGCCAAACAAACAAACAAACAAACAAACAAACAAACAAACAAACAAACAAACAAACAAACAAACAAACAAACAAACAAACAAACAAACAAACAAACAAACAAACAAACAAACAAACAAACAAACAAACAAACAAACAAACAAACAAACAAACAAACAAACAAACAAACAAACAAACAAACAAACAAACAAACAGCCAAACAAACAAACAAACAAACAAACAAACAGCCAAACAAACAAACAAACAAACAACAAACAAACAACAAACAAACAACAAACAAACAACAAACAAACAACAAACAAACAAACAACAAACAAACAACAAACAAACAACAAACAAACAAACAACAAACAAACAAACAACAAACAAACAAAAACAAAACAAACAAACAAACAAACAAACAAACAAACAAACAAACAAACAAACAAACAAACAAACAAACAAACAAACAAACAAACAAACAAACAAACAAACAAACAAACAAACAAACAAACAAACAAACAAACAAACAAAGGACTTTTTCCAATTAGGGAGTTTTCCATATTCAAGTTGCCACACAAATTAAAACATCAAATTGACAAAACTTCAAGCATGACATACAAAGAAACTTGGAATTTAAACCCTCTACCCCATTCCATTGATGTCTAATTAGTACATCTTACTATTATCAGTCTCAGAATATTCTACTCTTGGACTCCCTCCCCCATTGGATGACTAAAATGTACTTTGCAGCTAAAAGGGTTAATATGAAATGTGACCCTCTGATGTTAGACAGAGTAAAATCATGAAGTACTGAAAGTAGCCTGGCTTTTATCTTAATAATGTGTTAACACAAAATGCGGGCAGACAATCTAGTTTCAATGAAAGGTTAAAACCTTTTAAGTCCAACACACTCCCCATTGACAAACAAAATCACCATACAGGGGTTGATTGTTCGAAAGCCGATAAGTTAACGTTAGATTAAGCAAACTTCCTAACAGTTTGTTTATAAATTTGGAAATATTTCTTTAGACATCTTGTCTGGAAAAATTGAGGCTTATTGTTTGTTCGACCTGAGTGTATTTGTGTCCGACAGAACTACAGCTTTGTCCAACGTAAATCAAAATGTACCCTATCCCAGGACTAGAGGCTCGTATGTTAAATGGAAAATCAGAGTACTATTGTATAAAAGGTGAACTGGAATTTTTTTAACATAGTCAGGCAATGGGCGGGGAGCGAAATGCATGGTGAAGTGGAAAACGGGCTTAAGTTGTCTAGACTTTTACTGCTGTTCTGGAAAGCAAGTTAATTTTGGCTCGGAAATAAGTATGAAAGAAACAAATTATTTGATATCTTCACAACATTTGCCGTTCAGAATTACTGTCGTTCCAATTGAAGTGTTGCTCAAATATTGATTCAATACATTACCTTGGGCTGACCAATTCATTTGACCAAGTTCCAAGAGAAATTCATACACTTTCTAGTATAATTGTAAACTTCCTGTTGGATAGTTTGAATGCACCAATCACTTTTGTTGTTTGTGCAACTAACCAATCATAAATAGAAAGGAAGTGACCAGAAATTATCAAATACTTGGAATTGGCTCTTACACAGGAAGTGTATAAATATCTCGAGGAACTTGATGAGATGAATTGGTCAGCCCGAGGTAATGTATTGAATCAATATTTGAGCATCACTTCAATTGGAACGACAGTAATACATTCTGCTGATATTCATTTTGTCGGCATTCAGACTTATTTCCGAGTCTCGAAATTGAACTGAAGGTCATCGGACATATGTCCGACCCAAACTCAACGTCATTGGACATTTTGTCAGACGGCTCTGTAAATGATATTTTAAGGCATGCTATGAATAACCAACACCTGATGTGAGACTGAAGTCAAATAGAAATTAAATTAGGGTATGTAAGTGCTAATGGTAACTGAGACATGCACACACAGTCTGTTAATCCATCACAACATCACATCTTAATGGGTTCATCGAATACCGTAAATCTCGGACTATAAACCCTGGGCTATATATTTGATGGGATTTTAGATGGGCTTATACAAGGGGGGGGGGG